TTTTAAATGGGTAACCCAATATTTTTGGAAGGTCTTAATCTTATTTTGACTAATGTTGGAATTCATAAAAAAAAATTGGCAAAAGATATGCATAGTTTATTTTCTTAGATAAATGGTGATGTAAAATTGTCAATAACAATGGCCACAATTGCCCTGTGAAATTAATTTTTAAATTGACTTTACGTAAAATCTAAATATTTTATTTTTATAATTTTTTAAGTAGTTTAAACTTTTGTAAGATTTATTTTGACAAATATGAGAATTTTTTTAGTTAGATTAGGAGAGACCCATAATTTTTCTAAATAATATTTTAATATGAAAAATATATTTTCTGACGATTCACAAAGATTTAATATATATATCTTTTTATTTAAAATAGTTTTGGATAATTTTAAAATGGTAAAACACTAAAATATTAAAACTACTATATAAAAATATGTAAAAATTTATAAAATGACTAAATAAAAAAAAAATATATTATATATTAATAGTATAAGGCTCGAGCTTAATTTAAAAATGAAAATGTACCTAAAAAGCAAGTATAATTGTGTTCAAAAATTTCCATTTGAAGTTTTTGTTTAAGAAATACTGATTCGCGGTTTTCCTTTGTTATTTGGCAATTTTAAAAGGAGTGGAGAAAAAAGTGTAAATAATTTGTTTATTGATATTGTTTTTAAAATAATGTAAAATATAAGGTGAGTTTTTTTTTTAAATTTTTATTAATTAAAAATAAAGTTGCAATGTTAAAAAAATAATGGAAACACAATATGTAAAAATGAATACTGCAATTCAATGTAGGACCTATGGATAACCCATTGGCCAAAGCCTAGGTGGAGCTTTCAAATCAAATTGCTGGTAGGTCTGGGATAAAAGACAATATTTCATTGACAAAATTCCTATGCGGTCAATGCCTAGATTCCAACGGTCACCACAATTTCCACAATTTCGTTTGACCAGTTATTTATGCTTGTTATGTCAAAATCAAATTAACTTTAGATCAATCTTCCATAATCGAGTGGCAATACAAGGAATTAAAGCTGATTAAGCCATATCTCGAGCTACCCCCAATTTCATGATGTTAAGAAGTCGTCGATGCCAATAGTGTAGGAAAAAAGTTTCAATATGGAAAAATTCCGATGAAAAAAATACATGAACAAAAGGTGCGAAGACCAATTGTGCAAAGACCAATTGTGCCCAAGACTAATGTGTTTTACTGATAAGGGGAAGAATTCGCAGAAATTGCCATTAATGAAGTGAATGAATAAGAGAAATTTTTTGTTAAAAATAGTTTTTTTTAGAAATATTTATAATATGAAATGAATAGTTTATATTTTTTAAATAAATAAAATATATATTTAGATATGTTTAATAGGCCTGAGAATACCTCTGAAGAATAAGGGAGGTGTTCTAAGTAGTGTTGTTAAACGGCTCGTTTTGAGTCGATTTTTAAAAACGGCTAACTCAATGTTTTATCCGGAAGAATATTACGCAAGTCTGAATATTTTTGCTCATAGATGGCTCAAAGGTTTTAAGAAATCTATTAGGGTAATCTCTAGGCTTAAGCACAATTTTTCTTGCTAAAATATTGAGAACGAGCAGTTTAACAACACTAGTTCTTAGTATATTTTTTTGGTTTTATTATTTGTATTATTATGATCATTATTATTGATTATTATTATATATTTAAAAAAAATGCATTATAAAAAAATAAAGATACTTATTTTTTTTGTTGATAAAGTGTAAATCGTAATTTTATTTTTTTTAGAACTATCATAAAAGATTTATTCTTTTGGAATAATCATAAAACTGATTAAAAATAGAAGAGCTTGAAAATTTTCAAATGATTCCGAAATTTCAGTTATTCCAATAATATCCACCTGTGCAGCTTGCATTATCCTTCTTCAAAAAATTATGATCTCACGTTTGCAAACTTAATGGCGATCCTCGTAAAGGCTTCTTCCTCAGACAGAGACTGGCAATAACTATTCTTAAAGCAAATTATTTAAGGTTCAATGACAGTATTTTCTCCAAAGAACTATGCTAGACTTATACTCTTCCTTTCTTAATTCATACACTATATCTTATTTATTTTTTTTAATTCTGGATTTGTTTTTTTTATATAATCATATATTTATTTTTATAACATAAATAATGTATATTTTAAATATTTATAATCCAAAATTTTTCTTATTGTAATTTATAAATATTGAATAAAATTATCTAGTTATATATGATAAAATGTTGATTTAGTTAAGGTTAAAAAAAACAAATAAAATAAATTTAATAATATAATTTAAATTCTTAAAATATCTATTAAATAAACTGAAAAGCACAAGCAACATCTATAAGGATCATAGAAGTAAGAACTTTAATGTATTTAGACATAATTGAATATTGAATCCTAATTTAAAATTCGATATTTAAGACTCATCCTATGGTTTGCCGTTATTTATATTTCAGGTATAATTAGTTTTATTTATTGATTAGAAATTCTAATGAATTAGTAAGTAATAATTACGTCTAACATTGTTCATTGCTTCTACAATTTTCCTTCTAAATCTTTTTTATTTTGCAATGATGTTTTTCTTTAAACTACCTACCAAACTGAAGCTTTAAAAAGTATGAAATACGCATTAATTTTTGACATAAATAACAGGGATAATGCTTTCAAATCTTTGGATGACTTTACGCCTGAGATGTGATATCATAGTTTGTATTTGTGTAATTCAGTTACATTTTTTTGTTGTTGGCTAAATTGATTATAGAATAAGGAATTAAATATTAACGTAGAAGAGATATGTTATATCTTTTTTACATTCTCCGTTCTAGCATGATGCTAATTTTGAAAATTTTTTTTTTTACCAATTATTCTCTTCCCCTTTAATCCCGAACAGAATAAAACAAAAAAATGTTCTAATATAAAGTCTTACTCAATGGTTTGGTATGATTTTATAGAAACTTGGCTAACTTCATACTTATAAAGGAACAAGGTCTTAGTTTTCATTTGTTTAAAACTCAGTTTTATTTTGTGGTTTTAAATTTGATTAAAAAATTAAAAGTACTAGTCAGGTACCAAATGTCAGCATATGCCGGGTATATAATTTTTTTATAAAATATTTTCAACTAGCATTATGCCAAAATTTGCCTACTATCTTACCAAACGGATTATATTAAATTGTGCTCGAACATGGATAAAATTTTCAGAATAATGCTTACAGTTGCTTCTTATCGCAAGGTTGGCCTAAATTTTGTTATTAATAATTATTACATTTTGTGCTGGTTAGGGGTACTATGCTATACCAATTCAAGTCAGACTCTAATATATCACAAAACATTGGCATATTTTAGAATTAGTATACTTACAATTGTTCAACTTTAGTAAAGATGATATAAGGGTTAATAACGGTAAAAACAATAATATATATTAATTCCTTTACAGGAAGGGACTTTGTCGAAACCCGAAAATAAAATTTACGGGCGAAGCGCCACAAAAAATTTAAACCTCCCTCTACCTCCCACTCTCCCCCGTGGATAAATTCTAGCTCCGGCACTAGCTAAACAGATATTACCTAGTTATCTGATTTGCAACAAAACATGGCATAAAGGTTTGGCCTTAAAATTAAAGTAGATAGAGGCAAAGGGAAGATAAGATTTGTCTTTCTTTTGGTGAAATCTCGATGTATATATAATATTTTTGATGAAGTTTCAATTTTAACAGAAAATTGATTAAATTGAGGTTTTTGATACTATTTTAAGAAATAGGAGAAAATAGGAGATGGAATAAAGAAAATTATTTTCCTAATATTCCTCCACTGCTCCGACAATATTTTAATTAATGGGCATGGACGCAAGTCAAAGCAAACTAATATCAAATTTATGCTTTGAAAATAACAATCAATATAATTTAATAAATCTATCAACATGTGATCTGATTTCTTCAAGCTTTAATACAAATTGAATTTCATGATATCAAATTATATCAATATCATTTTTCGAAGTAGTGCATAAAAATATTAACATAGTTAAATAATTTTTGATTTTTTTTAATACAAAGAATTATGTTCTATTGTCTAATTTTAGAAAGGTCTTTCTTCTGATGAGTTGTCATTTTCAAGCAATTCTTACTTTTCACTAATCACTTATGATTGGCTCCTTTAACTTCATAAAATCTTACTTGATAGTGAAAGTTTTTTTTATAAAATATTTTTTTTAATCTACATTTTTTGATTATCTCATTTTATTATTTAATGTATACGAATGGTAAAAATATTTTCAACATTGGACAGGTGACCGGTAAGTTAAAATATTTTTAAAGTAATGGCCGGGTGTGAACGGGGGTTTGATACTTTTCAAGCGAAAAAAACAATAGTTTTATTTTATAATATTGCATATTATATATGCTTAATTAAAAATACCATAAAATAAATAAATAAAAACCCAAAAAGCCTTTTAAATATTTTTCTGTTAACATTAGGCGGGCCAGTTAAACAAAAATTTATAGATTAAATTGGCGGGTGGGTAAATTTTTTTTAAAAAGAAATTTATAAGTTGGCGGAATTCATTAAAACGAGTGCAGACCTCTAGCATACTTGTTTAAATTGAAAATTCCATATCTATAATAGTTAAAATTCTACTAAGAATAGGAGTTAATGCATATAGGTTAACTTGTTTTTAGATTTAAACTTGTAAAATATTTCTCTATGCCTAAATTAATTCCTGTATAGTATTTCTAAGGGTTCCTTACAACCTGACTAGACAAAGTCTATCTTAGTAATTAGTCTCTAATATTTAATAGCCATTAATAATTTAATTTATAACAATTATTAAAAAATGAATTTATTTACAAGTGAATTATAATCTATCCTATAGGGGAAAATTTAATAAATTCATATAAATATATTCAACATTATTTTTTTTTTACATACGGATATTGCTGTGAAAATTAATAATAAATCAATTATTTAATTATAAGCAAATCATTTTCTTTGAATTGTATATTTTTCTGAAGTCCGTTTGCCTAGATTGATTTTAAAATAATATAAATATTAAATGTAATCAGATTACCACTAATCGTATGAAGTGTGTGAATATTATTGAAGTAGGAAACTCTTACCACTCATGAATGTAAGAGGAGAGGGGGGCGTCACACCCTTATTACAATAAAATAGGAAGGGAGGGGAGTGGTGGTAGCAAAAATTATTTATAGGGTAGAAGTGGAAAACATTTTATAGGGGTAACTTTGTCATGACTGGTGGGGGTATGATGTAAAAACTGTCTGAATGATGATGTTTATTAAATATTTCTATTTTATTTTTAAAGGTTAATTTTAATAAATATAAAATACTCTTTAATATCCACTAGGGATTTTCATGCCGTAAAGAGGATTGAATTGACGGTGACAGCTGGCGTAACGCTCACATACTTTATTTTTTGTTTCCAATATATAATAATTTTTTCAAAGTAAATACAAATAAATTAAAAATGAGTAAAAAAAAAGGAAAAAGACTCCACCAAAAAAATAATAAACTGCGGAGGAAATAAAAACAGCTAAGAAAAAAATTTTCAAGGAAGAAATAGCTTGTATGGGGATTGAAAAACAAAGAAAAACTTTGGAGAAAATAATCTTCAATAGGAATAAAAAAAAATTTTTTTTATATATAATATATTTATTTTAAAAAAAAATAAAATAAATATTGTGCAAGTATATCTTAGAGGGGGAGGGAAGGGATAGATAATTAGTCATCTAAGTAGAACCTAAAGAAAAAAAAATGGTTTCTGGAACAGGTTTCCAAAATTTTATAACTGGACTGGTTAAAAATCTAGGAGATTTTCTATTCTTGAAGAATTAATTATTTATTAAATTATTATTTACGATTAAATAGCAAATATTCTGCTAGACATATGACGATCATTACCACCTCCCTTCCCGATCTTTGCCCTAATCAAAAAAAAATATATATGTACTCTTGCTCACTAGATTATATTTTTATTTAACTAACTCGCTTATAAATTGCTAAAACGCTTTAGACGAAAAAGATATTAAAATCGTAATTTGGAAGAATTGAATGGCGATTTCAACTAATTTCGAAAAATTATTTTATGTAACAGAACCAAATTACGTTTGAAAGGTATATATAAAATTTATTTTCTGAAAACTTTTATTTTCCTTCAGAGTTTTTTTTTCCCCCACTTGATTTTTTTCTTGGGATTTCGAATTATAGAATATAATTTATAATTATTTTATCATCAATTTAAAAAAAAAGATTTTTTATTCAATTTTGTGTTATTTATTTAATTGTTTATATCTATGTTTAGTTAGTGTAAAATATTTTTTTTTTACAGGAACGCTTATCCAGGGAGAAATAAAAGCAGAGGAAATCAAAACAACTGGAAAAAAAAAATTTAAAGGAAAAAAACACTTGTGTGGAATAATAAGAAAAACTTTGGAGAAAATAATCTTCAATAAGATGTTTTACGGGAATTGAATATGTATATTTATTTTAAAATAAATATGATATGATATAACTAACTTCTATAAATGTTAAATAATGATAGGTTCGAAAAATTTTATAACTGGGCTAGTTAAATATCTAGGAGATTATCTATTTTGAATAATAAATGATTTAAATAATTATTAGGACCTTTTTATCATTTTTGCCTTACGATTAAATAGCAAATATCTACTAAAACGAAAATGTCTCGACATATGATCTTCCTCACCTCCTCCTTTCTCATTACATCTTTACTTTACAGCGAACTAACTAACTCACTAACAAATTGCTAAAGCGACTTAGAGGAAAAAATGTTTAAATCGTAATTTGGAAGATATAAAAGGCTAACTTTATGTATACAACCTAAAAATTTGAAGTGTATGTAAAATATATTAAAACTTTTTTTCCTTCACAATTTTTATACATTCCAGTGGATTTTTTACCAGGATTTCGAATTATAGAATATAATTTGTATATTCTTTTTTTTAAAATAAATATGAAAAAGATTTTTAATTAGCTATTTAATTCATTTATTTTTATCTATGTTTAGTGTAAAATATTTATTTTTTTCTAACAGGAACGCTTATCCAGATATATGGATAAAATTGCGATCATAGGCTTTGATCCTTTAACAAACAACCCTCATTTTAAGCTTTATTTTAGAAAACTTATTATAATTGAACTTACATATGGTTATTTTGTATAGTCAACATAATTATGATATTAAAAATGAATTTAATTATATTCGATTTCACTAACAAATTTTACATTTAAGGTTTGCGCAATTGTCCTAACAGCGGTCAATATTGTAATTGACCATCCCCTATAGTTTCCAAAATCTAACGTGGTATTCCTAGTTATAGTTACTCTGTTTGCAGCCGTTGTTTGCATCATAGAACCCATTGTTACGTTTGCAGTTGAAAGCATTGGAGGCGTTGCTCCAAGTATATTTGAAACTATAAATGGTCATTAAATATATTGAAGATAGGTGATATTCTGGTTTAAATTTAATTTATTTATTTGTCATTTTACCAATTGAATTATTCCCGAATAAACGAAACGATAACATCATGCTACACGGTACACTTTGGTCTGTTATAGTATATATAGCCGTTTGAGACATATTTAGCTCTAAATAAAATTTAATAATGTCAATTTCATTTTTTAATCATAAATTTAAGAATAAAAACTATTTTTTTTTATTATTAAAATGATAGAATAATCTTTAATTAAATAAAAGATAATATTATGAATATTATTAAGAGAAGCTGAGCTGTTTTACATCCCCACATGGGATTCGGATAGGGACATATCATGTATACTCCTATATTAAATATTAAATACAGATACTTTTTTTGAAAAAAAGGTTAAATTATTTGTATTTTAAATACAAAAAATAAAAGCATATCCTCAATTTATCAGGGATTTGAAAAATACAAATATTAATAATCTATTATATATAATCTCCATAATCATAACACGATCGTTCGTATCTCCCTAATGGATTTTAAATTAGGAGACTATATAGTGTAATGTTAATTTTATCTCCATAATAAAAACACCATCGTTTTCGTATCTCCCTAATGTATTTTAAATTTAAGGAGACTTAATAGTGTAATATTAATTTTATCTCCATAATCAAAACACGATCGTTTTCGTATCTCCCTAATGTATTTTAAATTTAAGGAGACTATATAGTGTAATTTTAATTTTATCTCCATAATCAAAACACGATCGTTTTCGTATCTCCCTAATGTATTTTAAATTTAAGGAGACTATATAGTGTAATGTTAATTTTATCTCCATAATTAAAACACGATCGTTTTCGTATCGCTCTAATGTATTTTAAATTTAAGGAGACTATATAGGGTAATGTTAATTTTTTGCTCTCTACGAGAATCGAACACAAGCCTCCCGTTTCAAAGGCATATGTTTTACCGCATGCATCAATTTGTATAAATAAATTTAAAATATTAATGATATATATATTAAAGTTTCAAAGGTGTATACTTTACGCATGCATTAATTTGAATATAATCAAATTTAAAATATTAATTATTTATATATAATTCTACCGTCTATTATTATTACCATACTAGCTGTTGTGATTGAAGGGTAATTATTTAGTTTGTGTGTATGGTATTAAATATACTTTATTTAAATAAAAATATTAAAATTTAAGAGTAAAAGAGTAAAAGAGGTAAAATTGTTGCAATGTATTCTGTGAGCATGTATTAGAAATATCAAAATTTAAAATTGTGATGGAAATCATATTGGATAAAATTTTTAAGATTTTTGAATTTTAAATATGTGCTATAGATTGGTCTGAAATTTTTTTTGCAAACATAGCCAGGCCTGATCAAAAAACCATGTCCCATGCAACTTTCATAAATTAATTAATAGTTGACATTTTTTAAAATTTTGCCTGTGTAATGAATGCACTGAATTCACACCTAATATTATACATATTCCTGAATATTTAGGGGAAAATAAAATCATTTGGTTTGTTTAAAATTTAAATTAGGATATATTTTCAGAATGGTACTTTAATATGTATTCATGATTTTCATATAAATACCAGGAGCTCACCAGTAGAATCATAGTAAATCAGATTTACCCTTCATTTGATGATAATTTTAAAATTAGACAGATTTAATTCTTATAAACCCCTTACATCAGACCTATTTTTCTGGATCAAAATAAATTATTTAGGTTTTCCTGGGCTTGGGAAATATTTTTTACCATTAATATGGACTTGGACACAGCTTGAGAAACATTTTTCATAATTATTGTAGTCTAAGATTCCTGAAAATTTTTTAATTTTAAATATGGGCTAGAAGTTGGCCTTAAAATTTTTTTCAAAGACATGGCAAGGCCTGATCAAAAACCAAGGCCCATGCAACTTTCATATTCTGATTGTATTTTTAAATGCATTGTGACTTCTTATATATTTTATTTCAGTCCTCAACTATCATATTTTATGGTCTTTTGCGGGTTTGAGAAAACCAAGTGTGAGGATCTGGCGTAGGAATTTTTATAATATTAGGCATAGGTGTAATATTTAACACAGAATATTTATATGGCCCTCAGGTAAAATCCAATTTAAATATATTTTTATGCAAAAAAATAGTATTCAATCTTAGTCTTAATGGGTTGGCCTTGGTTGGGGTGAGCTGGGTTAAAATAGACTAAAAAATAGATATGGTTTTTAGAGATTTTCCTATCTCCAGGCTTGGATAAAAATTTAAATTACTATCAATTGACCAGGTTTGAGAAAATTTTTTTATAAAATTATTATGGGTTGAGCTGGGCTTGGAAAATATTTTTATAAATTTTATTGGGCTGGGCTTGGGAAAAATTTTTCAAAATTATTATGAGCTTGGACGCTTGAGAAATTTTTAATTATTAATTATAGGTCAGACATTGGCCCAAAATAAACTTTTTTGCAGGCCTGGGCTTGACCTGATCAAAAAACCAAGGCCCGTGAAAATCTGAATTTTGATTGTGTTTTTAAATTCATTATGATTATTTAAATATTTTATTTCAGTTCTTAACTACCAAAATTATTATGATCTTTCATTGGGCTTGGAAGAATTTTTCATAATTAATGGCTTTGGACTTTGCCAGGGAATTTTTTTAAATATTAAATATTAAATATTAGGTATAAGTAAATCAGTAATATTTAACAAATAATACTGGTATTATCAAGTAAATGCTTTATGTTTATTTTTACTCAAACCATAGCACTTAGTTTTAATGGATTGAACCTGGCCTGAAGGGGGAGGGGGTAAAAAGAATAAAAATTGTATATTATTTTCAAATAACAGGTAACATCTAGCATAAAAGTAAGAAGAAAATTTTCATTCCCCGTCATTTTTGACCGGCTTATCTACTAGTTACATTATAATAATTGAATTAAAAAATGTGAAATCCGCAATTTATTTCTTTAAATATCAATTTTGTAATCTAAATTAGAGAAGAATTAAGATCTTATCTTGTTATTTCCTCTTTTATTAAAATGAGCAATGATCATAAAATGACACTAAAAACAATTCCATGAAGTTAAGATAATATTTTTTATAATATGAGTATCAGGAAGAGCTTCCACTTCCCCCACATGTTATAACCCCATATTAGATGATATCTATTAAAAATAACTTTACGAAATGAATAATTTAAATGCACAATGAATTATTTGAAAAAAATTGCTTACTCTATTTTATTAAAAAAATACGTTATTTTAGTAATTCAATGTCTATGATTATAATTTTAAAATATAAAAATGACTGCAAATTAATTCATGAGTTAAAAAAAATGTGTTATTGGTACATTATAAACATTTATTACACTAAAATACTCATCAATGTACACAATTGTATTTAAATCCTTTTTTTTTAAAATTTTTTTTGGGAATTTATTATTATATGTGTCGTATTGGGATATGGAATCATGTGGGATTCGGAATTCCCACGTTTTATTTGGGATCTTTTTTAAAAATATTTAAAAAATATTTAGAATCCCCATAAAAAAAATCTTCCGAATCCCCATGAAAAAAAAATAAAATAATATAATTACTTTTTCTTCTTTTTTTTTGCGGCTGGCACCATATAATTAAAAGGCCAAAATAAGGGATTTAAAAAGAGAATTTAAAAAAAAGAAGTAAATAGTATAAAATTAAGGCATATAATAAATGAAAAAGGATGAGGTTAAGACATTATTTTTTTAAAAAATATTAAAAAATATATTTAAAAATCCCAATTATTGCAACAATTATTCAATGCAATATGGCATTTCGTTGAACATTTAAGCAGGGACCCGAACCGTTATTTATAAAGGTTCAGTTTGGTTACGGTTCAGTATGTAAAATTTTTTAATAGTTTACGTTTAGGTTGCGGTTCTTGAGAAGAAATTTATAAAGGTTCGATTCGGTTCAGCTAATTACAAAGGTTTATAAAGGTTCATTAAGGTTAGAAATTCTTTTTTTATTGAAGCAACACCATCTTCCAATTTATTTTTATTATAAGAAATATATAAGATTCAATAACTCATTTTTAAATATATTATTTGAGAGAACGTATGAAATAAAAATAATCGACATTCTTCTTTTTCTAGGTTAAAATTTGGATTTATAATATGTATTTATTTTTTGGATTAAGGGATTAAAGAAATAAATAGAATAAATTCAAAAAAGTGTAAAAAATTATAGCAATTTATGTTTTAAAAAATTTTAAAAAAATACCGTAAGTTTTCGGGCGTCAATCAAAATATAGCCTTTTGCGAGCGTGCGGGTCGGGTCGAAAATTTTTTAGTGGTAAGCGTGATAGTTTTTATCGCCACTGAGCGGGCGAGCGGGAATAAAATATTAGGTCCGCACCTGTTTTCGCTTTCTCTTCCTCTAATTTGCCTAAATTATTAAAATAATATTTATTTTTTTACATTTAATTTGTATTAAAACCATATTTTTCGAGTATTTAATGATTTAAAAGCATAAAAAAAAAGTAATACATATTAAATATCTCTAAAAAATAAATTTTTCTGGTGCCAGCCAGGCGGCAAAAAATATAATTTAATTGTTTTTTTAAAAAAAAAAAGATTCCGAATCCATGGAAATAATTTGAATATCCAGAATTATATAAACGTGCTCTTATAGTACTGGCGTTCCCGCAACACAAGTTTCTGTCGAAAGGGCTTTTTCGGGGCTAAAATTTGTGTTATCGTCACAACTAACAAAAGGGAATCCATTTATACTTGAAAATATATTACTTATAAGTTCAAATAATATATTTAAAAATGATTTTGAATCTTATATATTTTTGTTTTATATATAATTCATAGATGCTTATAATAAAAATAAATTAGAAGATGGTGTTGCTTCAATAAAAAAAAATTTATAACCGTAATGAACCTTTATAAACCTTTATAAACCTTTATTAGTTGAACCGAACCTTTATAAATTTACTTCTCAAGAACCGTAACCAAAACGTAACCATTTGCTTAAATGTTCAACGAAATGCCATATTGCATTAAATAATTGTTGCAATAATTAGGATTTCTTATAAATATATTTTATTTTTTAAAACAAAAAAGCCTTACTTACATACATCCCTTTTCATTTATTATATGCCTTAATTTTATACTATTTTCTTTTTTTAAA